TCTTGATGTAGCCTACATTATTCATTGGCCGACATATGTCTGTCATTGAAGCCCATCACACATGTGTAGCCCCCCAGCTGTGGCAACAATTTGGCCAAGAGTGCACTAGATATCCGTGCCTGTGTGCTTGAACTGGACTCAGTCCAGACCCAGATGTAGTGAGGAGCACTCCACTCCCTGAACAATGAGTCTTTAATGAGTGGTTCAGTTCAGGTGAAGGAGAGAAACGCCAAAGCAATATGATACCTATGACAGGTCATTTACTGCCACATCAATATTGCAGTGCGTGTCATCTCCAAGTTCACTTTAGCTCTTTTGGAAGTTTGGCTTTCTGGTATTTTTGCCTTTTTTATTTAGCTGACGGGAACCTGAGGCAGACAGTGGGGGTCATGCTCCTGAGACACTGTCCCACCAGGATACCCACATCTACTCTCACATAAAAGGAATGTGGGAGCAGTGGCAAAGCCCTAAACCAACAGAATCATTTTAGCAATTTTAACATCTACTGTTATGAATAAATGCCATTGATTTAATTCAACATTAGAGCTGGCTTTCCATTTGGGCACACTGTGTGATATGCATGCAAGGATACTGCTGATTCACTCCAGAGCCTCTGTTAAGTAATGCTGTAGTGCAGTTTAATGGCCACAAGAGAGAGCGCAGCGCTCTCTCTTACTGCAAATCTATCTGGTTTGTGTGTGTGTGTGTGTGTGTGTGTGTGTGTGTGTGTGTGTGTGTGTGTGTGTGACTCCTCCAGGGAAATTTTGAATGGAGCAGGCAAAAAGGGAACATGTAAAGTACATTGCTGAAGTGTCCATGTTAATTCCTATGCAGTTATGTGTAGCCTATACTGTATATAGGGTAGGACTAGTCAGCTCATAAGAGGCCGGTTTTTTTTACGAGACAGGCAGTATGGCTCTCACCATTTTAGAATAGATACATGTTTACTGTCAAAGATAGTCTGTCCTTCAGAGGCGTTGTTGGTCGGTGTATTTTTTTGTCGTTGTTCCTATTCTCACTCTTCTGAGCAGACACATATTTTGGAAGATTATGTTTGCCGGTAACACTGAAAACACCCTCGGTCTGTGGAGAAAGTATTAGAAAGGAAATTATTTATCGATCCCACGGCACCGGGTGTTTGTTTCCCTTAATTCAGTGCCCCAGTAAACAGCCTATGGCGCATTTAATAGAGTATATCTTCCTGGCGTTTGCAGCGTGTGGTAGCGCTAGGTTTTTTTAGCTTTCTATTTTTAGCTGCAGGTTCAATGACTATGAAATGTGCAAACACAGGGAGAAATGGCCCTGCCCGAGGGCCGCAGCCCCCAACCCCCTGCCTGTGCTCAGCCGTGAAGAGTTAAGCCGGAGAGGAGTGTGTGTGTGTGTGTGTGTGTGTGTTTGTAGAGTCTTGGGCAGAATGGCTGCAGTGAAAGCGAACATACCTCTGGCTGTTACAGCTGCTTGACCTGCGTGTGCCATTGTGCATGCATGCATCTGTCGTGGAGTCGTCGTGTCGGCCTGGTCTATTAGGGAATGAGGGGTACTACAGTTTCCTGTCAGTGCGGATTGAGCTCACACTGTCTTTGGCCTGCCTCCCTTGATGGACTGTTAGCGGCCTCATGCTGTGAGATGGCTCTGCCAGTGTGACTAAAGACAGAAAAAAAAGAAAACGTGTAATGAATGAAACAACATGTTTCTGTTACTGCCGCATTTCTGGCGGGATGCAGCATGATTGGATTTTTCCTTGAATTTTGGCTATTTATAAAATCTGAGAGATTGGAGCATTTGTTCATGATATAATGCTAAAGACCATTTCAACCTAGATGTGGTTTGAATCCATTTGGCATCCTTGACTTAGGCCGCTTTTTCCTACAGCCTTAAAGCTCATATTCCAAATGCCTCTCTATCAGTTGATAAAACTCTTTAACCTCTTGGGCCCACGTAGCTCAAATCCCTTTGGTTAATCTCAAAATGCACCGTTATCAAGCTCAAAACAAGGCTGTTTTTTAGGGGTTTTTTTGCAGTTCATGTAATGTCCCGGACATTTGAGGATTCAGCCCCAGAAGTGACATTTTTCTTACTTTCGCTCTTCCTGCCTAGAAACATCCATTTTCATTCTGACTCTGTTCCAAAGTGCAAATCAAATCCAAGTATTGATGTCTGAGGCTCAGTGTGCTCAACATTTACTGGACCCATGCACATTTGTGTTGTTGTTTTTTTCTTTTTCTTTTCTTTGGGAATACTATTATGCTATGAAGTGTTCACTGATGAGATAGAAGAGCTTGACATGTGCAGTCCAAGGTCTGAAAATGTGGTTAATTATTATTGGCAGAACAGAGAGGTGCACAGGAACCGACTCTATGTTAATTGCAGTTTGGAGGGGTAAATATGTGGGTCGTGGGCTGCAGTTGTCTGTACGGATAACCTGTCTGATCTGATGGGGTGTTAGCTGCGACTTTCCCTGTCTGAAGTTAGGCACCTGCTCATACATGTGTACTGTATGCACAAGTGTGCATCTTCTAGGTACAGGAAGCGATGAGTAGTTGATGAGCAGAAAAAAAAAAAACTGGCCTCAGTGGCTCCCGGGTCTTAGCTGATGACTCATGGTTCACTGCAGAGCTCTCACCATGACCCCCAGTTAAAGAGGCAGTCATGGCCTCACCGGCTACACTCCCCTGGGACACAAAAAGCACAATTTGCAGCCTCCCTGCCTCCATTGTGTGTCAGCACAGTTATAGCCCATCTTTAACATTGATAGCTGCTCATAAATGCCTGTGTGTCAACATTGCGTAGGCCAGTACATGCCTGTGTGTCTAGCTGTTTTTGCACTACATTTGAAATTTGAAATAATTCATCATTACTGGTTTGCTTTAAGATAGTATGAAGTAAGGCAGGCTACTGCGCATGTGTCTGTGATTTGTCATGTGTTTCCATGCTCTAATCTACAATACATCTACAGTAAAAAAAACAAATTTATATAATATAACTATAATAACAGCCAAACGTGACACATAATGGTTGAAAGCCTTGAATCACAGTTGGCTGTGTGCATCACCTGTTTGCACATATGGGCAGCTGATTCCAAATGCCAATTTTATCTTCCAATTCACTCGCACACAGAAACAGATATTGAAATCACAACTACTGACTAGCAAACACACTGTACTTGTCGCTGCTATCCCGCGCTGCTAGTCTGTGGAGGACGCAGACAGCTGCCAGCTGGGAGCTTCACGAGGAGGGTGTAATGTTGTGGAAGTTTATGAAACCCCAGATTTTCTACAAGCGCCCTGCCCAGACCAACCAGCAAGTCACTAGCTCAGTGACGATCTCCCACTGACTTCCCACCCATGAACATTGACACGTTTGACGGCTCAGCCAGCCACACTAGAGGCTGGGGACCTTTGAACAGCTGCAGCCCAGTAACTGTACAGACCAGCGAGTTCAGTTAATCTAGAAATAACATATCAGTCAATTTTTATTTGATTCAAGGCTTACTGAAAAAACAGAAAGGCGAGCTACAGACCAACTGATGGTGGGCGGGGCAGCGTTCAGAGCTCGCTCACACTAATGACAGTAATGCACTGACTCAGCACTGGGTCTGTAAGTGCAGGCAACGTGGTGGGGGGGGCTGCAGTAGCTCTTGGCCGCCTTGTTGGCCGTCTGGCCTGTCAATCATTTCACAAGCTCCTAGCCTTCTCAGACACACTTAGATGTCACTTTAGGTTAACGAGACAGGTGTGGTCACCTGGAGCAGGCCTGAGTCACTTTCAGGTTTCATTGTACCGGATGTCAATTATCAAAATACAAATAAAACCATGTAGGTTGTTTTTCAGAAGATAAGTCGGCACTGAAAAGTCTGAGCGTTACCATGCAGTGTGTGTGTGTGTGTGTGTGTGTGTGTGTGTGTGTGTGTGTGTGTGTTTGTGTTTGTCTGTGAACATGTGTGTGTAGTGATCAGGGCTGCTGTCTGCTCCTCGATTTATGAGGCTAATGTGGTGAGCTGGCTGCCGGGACTGCAGTGTCGAGCAGATAAAAACCTCCAGCTCTTCCGTCCTTAACAGAAGGAGAATGTTGATATTCTTTTCCATTTAACTTATCAAAGTACACGAACTGCAATCGTAGCATCTTCACTTACTGCACCCTCTATAAGTCTCTGCAATCGGTAGTCATGTAGGCTCTTTAATATTAATAAACTGTGCATATAGATTGAGAAAATGTGCTTATATTCAACATAAAAAGCACATTTGACCTATACTAAGAGGTGAATAGGGGATTATTAAGACTCACAGACTCAAAATGTATAATAATAATAATAATAAAGTCAACCCATCGACCTTTCAATGATATCAAAGGCTGCTGCATGTGTAAAATATTTCATCAGTCACCTCATAAACGTGAACTGTCAATACTGTTTGTGAATATTGTCGCTGTGGGGTGAAAACTCAAAACTCCAAGTTTCTTGATTTCTTTTAGATTTTTTTTTTCTTCAAATCTGTTTTCTTATACCTAGTTTCTAAAAAAAGGTTTGATGTAAATGGATTTTCACCCAGCAACAGCGATATATCCCTCACAGTTATGTTACAGCTTAACATAACAAATACCCAAATCACTCCATTACAGCTCATCATAGGTAAGACAACGTCTGCCTGTCAATCCCCGCTCCGCTCCAAAATACTAACACCGCCCTTTGCTTCCCTGCAGGTTATGTGGGTATGCAACTTGTGCCGAAAACAACAAGAAATCCTCACCAAATCGGGGGCGTGGTTCTTTGGCTCGGGGCCTGCTCAGGTGCGGGGCGTGTTTGAGGGCGGACCGCAGGGGAAGAAGGCCAAACTGCAGGACCCGTCCCTGTACCCCTACCAGGGAGCCTCAGGGGACCTGACACCAGCGTCAGACAGAAGCAGACCTCACGGCGGGCTCCTGCCCAGACAGGCGTCCCTTGACAACGGAGCGGGGCTGAGGTACTCAGCACCCGGCGACGCATCCATAGACAGGTCAGTTCTATATGCATTTCTCTTTTTAAAGACACGCACCCACTACATGCTCCATGTGAGTCACGCAGAGTAGATTTCATTATTGTGTTATGTCAAGTAGATGGTTTGATCAGGGGATAAAAAACTTATGACTAGACAATGCCACGTCATGAAGGCAACTGCATGAGAACCTTTTTAGCATTACCACTGGCAAATGTGGCCATTGTAGGTAGTGCAGAACAGTGCTGATCCAAGCCAAGCATAAGAGCAGTGGCTCCTAGCAAGCCAGTCGAGACCTCATATAAAACGGCTTGTACTAAGAGCCCATGAGGCCTATAAAAGCAGACAAAGACACAGATACTGTATCTGGCACTAACTCAGCAAACAGTCCTCCACCCGCTCTCTCTTCTTCACACTCACACACATACAGCACACGGCACATATCATCACAGGTGGTTAGAGCCAGGCTCAGCTAGCATGCACACTGTCTTTACTTTTTTTAAAACAAAAATGTTGTCACTGCAAGGCTTGTAAATGGAGAATCATTAAGATGCTCTTGAAGGAGAAAAGCAAGAGCAGGCCGCATGCCAATGCAGAACTTTGTGTTCCATTTGTCATGTGCACTAAATGCCCCCTCTGAGCAGCACACTCAACACGCCGTGTTTGTGAATCTTATTTCCGGTTGCCTATTTCTTCATACTGGTGTCAGAAAAGGTAGTTACTGTGATGTCCACACGGGGGCTCCTTCCTCTTTCTTCTCCCTCAGGGAGGAAGAGAAGCTTGTTATCTGCACTGACTGTCGAGAAATGTCTTTCTTTTTCTAAGATTGGGTCTTTTGGCATTTCAGCTTTGTTTTGCTTGTGAGAGACAGGGAAGGCAGGGGAAGTAGAGAGAGAGGGGGGGTGACTTGCAGCAGAGGGGGCTGGGCCCTAATCGAACCCGGGTCGCATGTGGTACGCTCTACCCGGCGAGCTACCAGGGCACCCCATAGAAATGTATTTCTACTGCAGAAAGGCAGAGAGACGCTTTTCAGCCACAACTCTCCTGTCCTTGTTTGCTCCTTTTCAGATGTAACAAAGTGTGCCATTCGTTAGTGTGCAGCCCTACACTACATTTAAATATATGTGGACATAGATTATTTAAGATTAATTAAGACTTCCCACCAGAATCTCTCAAATTGTCATTAGTTCGGGACAACAAACGTGTGATCTGTGAAGTGAAATGACTAAGGCAGAGGTGAAGCTGTGAAAGGGAACATGATATACTGTAATTACATACATATCACACACATGCATGTTTATATGAGCGGTGCAGTAGGACAGGAGATGAATTAGACTATCCTAATCCAGCCTCTGTCCCTGTTCCTATTCCCTGCTGACCGTGTAAATGTACACCTGGTGGGCCGTATCCCCCACTTGTCTAGCGCAGGGACGGACCAGCCTGTGCCCACAGTACGTTCGGAGACACAACTCATTAGTTCTGTGTCATCTCTTCGCTGTTGCGACCTCCTATTTACTTCTCGATACGCTCAGAACCAGCAAACATGGAGGAGCTCCAGGGGAAAAACATCCCGTCTGTTTTAATTGCCTGATATTTGGCTCCGAATGGATGTTTTGATGGATATATCATGCACACCTGCCCATTAACCGGCGGTGAGTGTACATACGTTCAGTACTTTCACACTGTAATGAGGCTGCTCCGCAGCTATGACACATACTCTGCAGCCTCCAAAATAGATATTTACTCCGTCCCTGTCTTGGTAAAATGGTGTACCTGTGCTGTCCTTGTTATCCTCATCCGTTGTGTTTCCATACTCTGAATATGCAGCGCACAGTAGCGCAACAAAGAGCCGAGCGTCATCTGCAACTGCATACTGTAATCAAAGCTACACCTCTGTAAACCTTTAACAGTGATGCAGGATAACAGTTTTTTGTGTCTCAGTGCTACTGAAGTACAGTATCCATCTTCTCCTCAAATGGCTGGCTGCTTTACGGTGGTTTTAATGGAGGATCAGACTGACTATAGATCAGACTATAGATCAGACCGCTCCAAGCATTCAGTCATCCAGTCACTTTCTGCTCCAGTCCGGGCCCTTGCCACTGTACATTAATAGATTGCACGGCTGGAGAGGTGGAGATGGTACCGGAGAGCGTTTCTCGCTTTGGCACCGCCGACATACGCAGTGACACAACAGGAAACTGTCTGTCTGGAAACTCGCAGGATAATGCTGATGATGGATAGCAGCGAGTCCGTAAATAGAACTCCCACTGCATAAGCACCAAAACCCACTTTCATTAATCTTAAAGAATGTTTAAATTAACTCTTGGATCTGTTCTGCTAAAGAAAGGAGGGGGGGGAGCTGACAGTCTATTTATAAGGAGAAATAACTTGGGAAGGCCTCTAATTTATCTTGGTCTCGGAGGTGTCATTCGAATGAACACAGATTCTCCGGGTCAGCTGCAGTGTTGGGTGAGGCTGATGAAACAACAGTGATTACACTGGGATCGGAACATGCTCACTGCTGGAGTTTCTTCCGATTCTGCATTTTTTAGACTCATTCGGCCGGGCAGCAGAGCCGCTCAGTCTGCCAGAAATGTTAGAGGAGGAGGAAGAGGAGGAGGAAGAACACACTGGCCCTTTAACAGTCCGGCTTTGCACAGTTCAGTTCATCATTGCGTAGTCTAAGCTAGTCTCTTTGAGACTAACGGGCCCCATCAGCCTGACGAGCCTTACAGTATGGGAATTTCACCAAATAATTCACGTTGACACGGAGGTCATGAGTCATCATTCCTACAACATTACATAAAATGTTTACTGACAATTTATGATCTGATGATGCTGCCACACCCAAAACTATGCAATGGAGTCCAGCGTATAAGCAACAGGAGCGGTTAGACACAGACTCTAAAGCACGTCAACACCTGAAAGCTCCGTTATAATTGACCTTTGTGTGTAAAACTGCAAGTGTAGTAAAGCTAACAGTTGAACTAGAGGAATTAAATCTAATGGATGCTTACTGCGGACGATTGGGGTAATAACCTTAATGTTCAACTTAATTTAGTTTTACCATTAAATACATGGTTTACTTGATTTTATTAGTCTGTGAACTCATTTTAAAACCTCTAACTGACCTTTAACAACATAACAACATCAACAAGCGCTTGGGCAACAAGTCTGCGGCGACCCTGCAGCAATGTAGCTGGCCTCGCGACGTGTCATGTAGGCTACTTTGTGATTTGTAGTGTCTTTACTTGAACATCTGCTCCACCAGGGGCTAATTTTGAATTTTGGTAGCGATGCAATAAACCTGGGAAGGAGGAATTGATTCTAAAGTCTTATACAAGAGGCTGGATTCTAGTAACTGATGATGTTTTAACAGAGGGATGTCATGTAGTCGGCTTACATCCTCTTAATTAAGTCTGCATTAATGTACTGACTAACTAACTAATTGCTGAATAGTCTATTTCTCATGAGATATTGAACACAGACACATGAATCATCTTCCTGCTCAGGAAACGCTCCTTTCTTTATACTTGCATGTAGCACAACTCATTTAACTCATAATGGCTCCACGTCGGATGCACTTTTGATTGTCCTGCAAATATTTTTAATCAAATGCTTTACATCAGCATCTTTAAGGAACCTCTTGAACCTCCCTGCATTTTTTTCAACTAATTTTGACTCTTTCAAGTTACATTCAGACCTGAATGAAACACAAATTTATAATAAGTGGGCAAACCCCTCGGGAAAACCCCCCTTTTATGCGTGCCCTTTCCTCTCAGGCAGACACTGGACCTTTCAGAGGTATTGCACTGTCATCTGCTATTACTGACGAGGAGCTGATGATGCTCTGAAGCCAGATATGGAATGTAAGAGAGAAAAGAACTGACGACAGCATCGCGTCTCTCCCCTGTATTATACCGTGGTGTATATATCTGCTGCTGTGCGCGTACCAAAGAGTGCATGAGAGAGGATGGAGAGATGTGGCAAAGAGTGCGCAAAAATTGCGTTGTGTGCGTGCGTGTGTGTGCGCGTCTGTTAGCGCGAGTGTGTGCTTTTCATAGGCGAAGGGAAATATGAGTTGAATGTGAGGCAGCTGCTGATGCGCCGGTAAGGGATGCTGCTGCCGCTGCTGGCTGCCGCGTAGGGATGCTTCTCCGCTTCTTCTCTCCTCCGGGCGCTCCTTCGCCTCTCCCTGCACACCGAGAAGAGATTTTCGCCTCAGCGAGAAGGAGAAAAGGCTCGTTACCGGCACCGGCGCTACCTTCTTTCTCCCGCTCCAAGTCGGAAGCATTATGACCGACGGATCCCGCGCGGAATGCGTCTCATCTGAGGACACTTTTTACCAGGAGCGGCCGGAGAAACATGGAACTTGCTCGGCGTCTTTTCTGCGTCTAATGCGCCCCCTGGAGATACGAATAACAGAATACTGAGGAGGTCTATGTGTGGAGGGGGGCGTCCGGAGAGAGCGCAGGCTTCGGGATGTGCTGTCGGTGAAAGGGGTGATCATTTACAGAGGATAAAAGAAAACGGAGGGGGAAAATGCAGTTTGAGACATTGCGTCAGTTCTGTAGCTCGGTTTTATCACATTTCAACGGGGCTTTCTCGGCGCCTCAGAACATCTTGCAGACGGAGCTCTTCGAGCAGGCGCTGAGCAACATTGGGTGAGTGATTCCTTTGTAAGGAAATGGCCTGATTTATGAGGAAGGGCTTCCCCGTTGGTATGTCAAACGGGTATTGGGGGGGGGGTTGTTGCGTTTATCGATCGGCAGCCAGCCTGCGTAATAACAACCTACAGTATAGTACTGCTGCTGCTGCTGCTGCTGCAGATATTTCCTGGCTGGATGATGGGGCCGATCAGTGATGCTGCCGCGGTTTTGCCGTGTGCGCGTGCGTACTGAAAACGAGCCGTTTTTAGGCAGACTGTGACCATGCCGAGGTGTGCCTGTGCTGTGCGCGTGGCCGTGTATGTATGTGTGCGCGTGCGCGTATGCCCCAGCGCACCGCTGCTGCAGCATGTGTGCTTTAAACTGCCTCTGCTGCTGCTGTGCCCGAGAGGAGAACATGAGGGGGTGAAGAGGGTAAATATACATTTTTTAAAAAGTCTTGGAAATGAGTGGAGACGCCCCCCCCCCCCCCACACACACACACACACTCCCTCTCTCTCGCACACCCACGCACACAAGGCACACACCTACACACCCACACTCACTCATACACAGGCCATCATGTTTTTGGAGGAAGGGGAAGTACATACATATGAATTATTTGATGAAATAGTGACGAAACTGCAGAAATATACATCTTATGCTTACGGTAGACTTGGGCAATCATTTTCATTATTTGAAAAATGTAGCATGTCCCTACCCTTTTAGCTACAGTGTTACTGCAACATATGCTCACTGTATTTTCACATTTGCTGGAAGAGAAGTGCTTGTCTGTTGAGAGAGAGAGAGAGAGAGAGAGAGAGAGAGAGAGAGAGAGAGAGAGAGAAGCTGGATCTCACTTAGATGCATCGGAGCATATTATGATTAGTCTGCTAAATGCTCCGATCCCCCCACAGAGAGGCCCCTGGTCATCTGGCTTGGCATGGCTGTTAGACACATTTTGCAGACTGCAGAAGGACTTGGAACTTGCAAACAGACTCCCTGCGTTCCTGCAGCAGCAGCAGGGCCGAGAGAACACGCAGGCCTCTTTTTTTACTTCTCGAAAGAGGCTCGGGCCCCATATCTCCACACCACGCACTGTCTGTCTCTGGGGACTGCGAGTCTTTCCCTCTTGTCCCCCCCACCCCACCGTCAGAAATAATTTACAGCATTGCTGGGCTCCCTGCCACCTCACATTACATGGCCAGAACACTCAGCCACTGGAAGCGCTGAACAGGGGTCTCTTTGCCTGGAAACTGTGATCCAGCAATCATCACATCTGACTGATTAAATTGAACTTATTTTCCATCACTCCCCTTTTTTTTTCTTTTCTCAGTAAACCCCTCCCGTAGAAACCATCTCTGAATGCTAGTAGACGGCAGGACTGCTTAATTATCGTATTGTTATATAGTTGGCTGAGTCATTTTTAATGCTGTTCCAGTGTCAGCCTTTAAGTCCACTCATTTCTGGGTCTGTAAGTAGTACCATGAAACTCACCAGTACAGAACAACAACAACACAATTCTCTGCAAACCAGCAGTGTGTGCTAGCCAGCTTGGCCATCCATTCGATCAGGGCTGTTTGTGTGTGTGTGTCTCTCTCTCTCTCTCTCTCTCTCTCTCTCTCTCTCTCTCTCTCTCTTTCTTTCTTGGCCCATTAGCAGGCCAGGCCTGAATAATGGGCTGTATGCTTTTAGATCCAGCCCCATGTATTATGCATGTGTGCGTCAGGAGAGGTCCTAATGGGGTGTGGGGATCTGTTCTTAGAAGGCCTGAATGGTTTTGAATTGAGTGGTCACTACATTTAAACTGCAACCATACTCGCCCCCCCCACTCCTCTAATACACACTCATACACACACTTTCCCCTTAACCCTATATGGCAGCTCTCTGTGCTCGCTGCCCTGAAATGCCTGAGACCAAAGTGTGTCTGTTGATGGACTGTCTGTGTATGAAGTGATAAAAGGGACGTTACTGAGTTTGTGATGCCGTTCTCGTTCACTGTTTGTACTTATGCCTTCGGAGACTAATGCACTGTAGCTTGTATATAACAGGTCAGACACAGGACTTTCACCCTGGAGACCGATGTTCGTTTCCCGTGTGAAGCCAAAGTGCAACGTGACTTATTGTAACTTACCTTCAAAATTGCTTGTATGAATGGTTACTTAGTCCTGATGGGCAGGTGGCACCTTGCATGGTAGTTCCTGCCATCAGTGTATGAATGGGTGAATGATGGCATGTAGTGTTGAGGCACTTTTAGTGGTCAGAAGACTAGAAATGCGGCAAGTACAGTCCATTTACCATTTAACTTTATAACGTACTTAACTAACTTAAGTTACATAACAAACTAACTTATTTTAACCCAAACTACGATCTTTCCTTAAACCAGACCACGTATTTTTGTTGCCTGAACATCTTCCGATCTGCAGGGTCTTGATCAGGCCCATTGATCGTTCGTGTTGCTGGACATTCGTTGGAGAACGTGCAAAAAACCAACTTTCTTTAGATATCATGAGAACCGTTGTAAGTATGAGGGCGTTGCTTGGTTGTTCACGTCATACAGCCTTTTCCCAGATGAGCCTTTTGCAAACTGTGCGATGCTATAAACGGGATATGAATAGCTGCATTTGATTTTTCTGCACAGATGCAATGTTTTGAGAGCAGCGCAGTGTTTCAAATCCAGCATATTAAATAAAACCCATATTGCCGCTGTTTAATGATTCCAAACGGGCTGCCCAATCTCGGATGTGATTTTAGTGAGTCATCCTCATAACCACAGCTGTTTAATTCATCCCACACTCTCATATATTTCTCTCCTGCAGTGACTATCTGTGTGTACAGTCACAGAGCGGAGGGAAACTGTCAGCTCTATGCTGAAAGTTCCTCTGAAGTGGAACCCCCTCCCACACCCATCTCTTCACTTGCTCTCCCCCCCAGCCATCTGGTTGCCATAGTGATAAAGTGTAATGTTCAATCAATAGAAATGATGAGCCTCCATGTCCATGAGCAGGGCCTGATTAAAAAGTCAAAGGAAGGCATGGAGCATCGGGACACTATTTCTTACAGAATCACCAAAAAACAGGAGGATGGCTGTTTAGTCTGCTTGACATGTTTATGGCCACTTTTTCAACATGATAACGTGACGGTTATTTCTCAGATTTTATGCACAAATACTCTGAAAAAGACTTGATAAAGCTTGAACTCAATTAGAAACTTGAATTGTGTGAGTTACATACTTCCGAGAGAATGTGAATACATATACAGCACAGAAAAGGCCTCATGAAACTGCTGTAAAGGCGATTCAGCGATAGGACCTGAATCAACTTCTTTAAAGAGGTGTGAGGCCTCTCAACCAAGAGCCACCTCTGAGATGCTTTTCGGCATCGCATCTGAAGCAGCTCATTTGTCTGTAGCAGCTCACGAGTGTGCTGGTTAAGCAATGTGTGTTTGTAAGCTCAGTGGGCAGCCTTTCACTATTTGCTAGCAGAGCAGTGTTGCATTACAGACGTTTTGAGTTCGGGAAATTGGACTAACCCTTAATTATAAGAAGCGACTGTGACGTTGAAAGATGACTAAGCTACTGGAGTAGCAATGTTTAAAATGTGATCTTTACTTCTCGGCAATACAGCGTTGATTGAAGTGGTTATCAGGAATAATAAAGGGCTCTAAACGTCCCCTACATCTGATGCTGCACTCTTTACTAGGCATCTGAGTGTGAGGTCATGATTGACAGCTGTAATTCTCTGTCGCTGACGAGGTGCGGCACTCCAATCCAGTCTGTCATGCATGTAGCATCACAGGTACAGACTCTGATGTTTGCTCTCGCATCCTCTTGTCAACTTGTTTTGTATTGATAGCCTTGTGTAGGTGAGGTGAGAGGAGCTCAGTGGAGAGACAAAGCAAGGAAAGGACACAGAGAAAGGACGACAGAAAGTACCAGGAGGAGACAGCAACACCCGGGCATCAGTCACCATGGTGACAGAGCTGTAGACGAGGCAGACGTAGCAGGCTGCAGCTTGTGGGACTGTGAACCCCTGGAGCCCCAGATTCAGGTTGATGTGACAGAACTGGGGGAAAGGAGAGGGGGAAAATAAGAGGAAAGGGGCAGGAGGAAGGGAAGGGAGGACAGGAGGAGGACAGGAGGAGGAGACAGACTGCAGATTTAGAAACAGCCAGTGACAAGGACTTCACAGCAGTCTCTCCCTTGGCTCCTCACAGTCCTGGACACTTGGGATGATTTAGAGGTGTATCCACCTTGATATATCATTGGCCAGATCGGAGCATATGTAACATTGTTTTTACCCTTCTTTATCCAGGCTAAGTTGTCTGAGTGTATATTTAGTTTTTCCACTAACGCCCATCTTTACATTCCCACCGTTACACATTAATGCCTCGCAGTAGCAAAAGTCTGAGCTCCTCCGCTGGAGCTATTGGGAGTTAAATGCCTTGCTGAATGCAAGTCCTACCCACATTTTCCCAGCCTGCCTCTGGGCTACCGTCCTCTCTTTTTATTTCATCTCTGTGAGTACTATAAAGTAGCGTCTTGAGGGTTTAGGTGTAGAGTCAGACTGAGACTCAAACTGTATCCTCAGTAGTTCTTATGCAACCCCCCGCCCCCCCCCACCCGCCTCGCCCCGACATCCCGTCACACCTCGCCCACGCTCAGCCCACCCTCAGCCCCATAGTGTTGCACCCGGGTGTTGGCAGCACTCAGCAGCTGTAATTAAGCCGGCCCTTTATTGGTTTTGTCCTCGCCAAGGGAGATGTGCGCAGGAAGAAGGGAGGCCCTGGTTTATTGCCTGGGCGTCTAAGAGAGGGGTTATTATGATTGCATGCTGGAGAGAGAGAGAAAGAGAGAGAGAGAGAGAGAGAGAGAGAGAGAGAGAGAGAGAGAGATAAAGGGGAGAGAGTTGGAATGATAGCAGCGTGGAGGAAAAGGTGGATGAACAGTGCGAGAGAGACAGCGGCAGAGGCTGAATCGATATGCCCGACTCCTCTCTGCTCTCACCAAATCATATCTC